GAGGATACAGATAATTTTTATTTCTTTGGACTTTAACTGGGAATTCCATTTATTTGGATAATAACTAAAGAACATAAAGAATAATGAACTTCCGCCCTGGTCAGTTTGGCTCAGCGGTTAGAGTGTCCGCTTGCAGATCAGAGAGTCCCGGGTTCGGTTCCCACTAAGGGCACGTACCTTGGTTGCAATTTGTCCCTGGACCAGGTTGGGGCTGTGTGGGTGGCAACCAGGTGATGTGTCTCTCTCACGTCAATGTGTCTCTGTCACGTCAATGTTTCTCTCTCTCTCTTCCCCCCTCTCTCCCTCCTGCTCTGAAGATAAATGCAAAAGTGTCCCCAGGTGAGGATAAAAAAAAAAATAAGGAACTTCTGCCCTGGCCGGTTTGGCTCAGCAGTTAGAGCATCAGCCCATGGACCAGAGTGGCAGATTTTATTCTAGTCAAGGGCACATACCTCAGTTGCAGTTCGATCCCTGGCCCTGGTTAGGGTTATGTAGGAGGCAACCATTCGATGTGTCTCTCTCACATCAATTTCTCTCTCTCTCTCTCTCCCCCTTCTTCCCCCTCCTTCCACTCTATCTGATCAATGGGAAAATATTCTTGAGTGAGGTTGAAAAAAAATAATAAGGAACTTTAATATCTCCCTAAGAACCTGATAATGGCTTATACAAATTTAGGACTTTTTTTTATATTGCTACCTGCTTGTATGGAGTATCTATGTTCTACCATTTGGACTCAACATACAATCTCTCTGATGAGCTATAAGGCACAATGTAATTGGTCATAATTTATGATGGGAAAGAATAAAATAGGGAGTACTAATTTTCAACCCAGGGGACAGATGAGCCTTGGAATTAAAATATTTAATGTACTATTCGTATACATCTCAACCATTCAGGGGGAAAAGAGTAAACTGGCCCCCAGTGTCACAGGAGAATCCACAATGGAGGTACTGGGGGTGTAGCTTTTGAAGGACTTACTTTAGACAGCTATCTCCTCCCCCAAGAACAGTCACATCCCTGATTGACCAGACATTTAATAATAAAGCCCAATGGGAAGAGACAAGAGAACAAAGTGTAGGGAGGTCAGTCTCTTCTGCTAGGCTTCTCTCTTAGACCAGGTCATGAAAGACTGCAATTAATCACGTGTGCTGTCCCATTCTATCTTCCCCTTACTTAATCTCATTCTCTCTCAGGGCTTTGATTACTACCAACACACATAAAAATTATTTCATACATTATCTTATTACATGTATTGTCCTATTATATGCCCTCATAGTGCTATATATCTCTTAATCAACAAACTTATTACAGCTGAAATTTTACTTTTACTTGTATAAGCAATGTTTGTCTCTCTCACAATAGTACAAATTCCATGAAGGCAGGGGACATATCATTTTTCATTATTGTTCTCTTTCCAACACTTGACCTGGTTCCTCAAAAAAAAATTAGCTGTTGAATAAAAAATAGGGAGAGGTGGGGGTGGGGTGGGGAGGAGGGTGTCAATGGGGAAAAAAGGAGGGATGTCTGTAATACTTTCAATAATAAAGAAAAAAATGTATGGGGAGAAAAAGAAACACCATTCCCATGGTTTCATGTTTCCAAATGGAAATATGCATTTGTTCTAAAGAAACTCTCCTTCTTCACAGGGACACATCTGATTGCTGAGATTAAGAAATAATGTGCATGCCCTGGCCGGTTTGGCTCAGCGGTTAGAGCATCGGCCTGCGGTCCTGAGAGATCCGGGTTCGGTTCCCACTAAGGGCACGTACCTCGGTTGCAGTTTGTCCCCGGCCCTGGTCGGTTGTGCGGGTGGCAGCCACTCGATGTGTTCCTTTCACATCGATGTTTCTCTCTCTCTCTCTGTTCCTCTCTCTCCCTCCCACTCTACCTGAACAAAAAATGGAAAAATGTCCTCGGGTGAGGATAAAAAAAAAAAAAAAAAAAAAAAGAAAAAGAAATAATGTGCATGCTTGGCATAATCCCATCCCAGTTCTCTTGGATCTGCCTGTCAACAAAGAAAGTGGTTTTTAGTCTGCTCTCATTCACATCATAAGTGATCTGACCTCATTAGGGAGACCTATAATTGTCTGAAAGTGACAAAATCTGGGTGACTTCAAAACTAATTTGGGGTGAATTATTAGGATGCTGCATATCTAAGCTTCACCAATAATGGTGATATTTTTATCACTAACTATATGATTCTTATATTTACTACTCAGTTATTTACAAATACAGGAAAGAAAACAAAGTTTCACTTACAGCCCTCATTAAAACAAAGCACACATTAAATCACCAGCACACATTCAGGACACACAATCTCTGATAATGTGATTGATGAGTAACATCTGTTTCCCATCCAAGATAGAAAACTCTCTATCTCTTGAGCTAAAATCTGTTTCCTTCTATTTTCTCTTGGGAGTCTTACAAAACAAATGCACAATTAACTTCTCCAAACAACCCTTTCCAAATTATTTGTAGAATTAAAAGTACCATGCCAGCCCGGCCAGTGTGGCTCAGTGGTTGAGCGTCGACCCATGTACCAAGAGGTTGCCGGTTCGATTCCCGGTCAGGGCACATGCCCAGGTTGTGGGCCCAATCCCCAGTGGGGGGCATGCAGGAGGCGGCCAATAGATGTTCTCTCTCATCGATGTGTCTATCTCTCTCTCCCTCTTCCTTCTTCTCTCTCTAAAAATCAATAAAGAAAAAATTTTTTTAATGTACCATGCCATTTATTCATTCAGCTAAGATTTATCATGCAAATATGTGATATGCACTGTGGCTAGAAACTCAGGAGACAATGTAAAAAGACAGAAGCAATTCCTGCCTTTATAGGCTTACAATCTAGAGAACATTTAAAAACAGACAAAATTATTTTATTCTGTTAAGGGCTATGAAGGATGCAAACAAGGGAATGAGACAGTGAAAAGGAGAGGGAACATCCAGAGAATACCCTCTGAGAAAGTGCCGTTAAACTAATACCTCAAGGATCAGAAAGAGAAAAAATATCCCATGCCAAAGAAATAGCATACATAAGGACCCTAAGACAACAAAGCATTTAGGGTGTTTTAGGAACTGAAAGAAAACCATATGGCTAGACTACAGAAGAGAATAGTGTGAGATGAGTTTAAGAGATAAAAACAGAGCTAAGATAAGGCAGCCCACGTTGATCATAGTAAGAAGTTTGGATTTTATTTAATGTTACAATTCTTCTTCAAGTTAAATCCCCACATCCTCCTAATGTTTTTCATATCATTTTGATCCCTTTCATTACACTAGTCATCTTTTCCATGTAGTATAGTTAGTCTAACGCACTGAAAATGAAAGGCTTAAAACTAAGCCCAGTTCTCCAAAGTATGATCTCACCAGTAAAGAGTACAAAGGTTCTACCACTTCATCCTTGATACACTTTAAATAAGCAGCCTCAGATCAAATGAGCTATTTTGAGGCTATTACATCACAACACTGATTAATAATAAGTTTGCTCTACAGCTAAAAACGCCAAGTCTTTAACACCTGCTCTTCAGACAGCCAAGCCTTCTGTCCCAATCATGACAATGCCCTCTTCTGAAATCTACTTAAACTCCTGGGTGGTAGCCTAATTCACAGCTTCTCACTCGAAGATCCAGACCCAAACACTATCAACCAGACCTAACTTTCTTATGGTTACTGGTACTGATCAGCATACCTAGTGCCAGCCAGAAATGAGCAACATGGTACGAGAGAAAATTTCATTCCAGAAATCAGTCAATATTTTTCAACTTTTGGATCACTCCTAGTTTTATGTAGTCTAATTTTAGACAAGATAGAGTAAGGACATTTTTCTATTTTCTGTACTGTAAAGTGAGGACATTAATGAAGTTCATTATCATCCTTACAGTTCTCCAAGCTAAAAATCTCAGCTTCTCCCTTCGTCTCACCTCCACATATCCATTCAATCACAAACACTAATACTTGTATCTTCCTTATCACTCTCCTATTTCATGCCACTATAATTTCACGTAGATGACTGGAACAACCTAACATGATTTACAAGGTCCTTCACACTTTGCCCTTTACCCCCAGCTCTTTGGCCTCCCCTTTAAATTTGGTACACTCCATTCCCCCACTATGCAGACCTGTGATACTGAATTACTCTGTTTTGTGACTACATCATGTTTTATATCCTTCCCTCTATCTAAAACATCTTTCTCTCCAAATATTTCCTTCCCTTTCATGCTAATGTTCACTCATTTGTGGGGTCTCAACTTAGATGTCACTTCCTCAGAAAGTATTCCCTGGCTCCTACCCAACCCACAGTCTGATTGAGGTACCCTTCTCCTCTCTTCCTGGTAGCTCCCAAAGCACCTTGTACCTCCTCACCTTAGTTCTTGAGTTTTATTGCCATTTATTGGTCAGCATCCTTCACAAGACCATATACTCTCAGATATCCAGATATGTTTTGTTCACTACTAAATATCAAGCAACTAGCACAGTGATCAGAATATAAGTGATACCCAAAATATATCTGATGAAAGTGAAAGCATGAAAGAGTATGTGTATACAAAGGCATATGGGTGAATGAATGTAAGATACAAGATTTTGAGAAATGAGGAAGCCTTGTCTTCCTTATGTATAATAATTTTATGAAGGGCTCAGACGTGCCTGATTTAAATTTGCAACATTTCAAATAATACTCTGTTTAATAGAAACTACATATAATAAAAGGTAAATTTGGTAAATATATAATGCATAATTATTGATGCATCTTCATTTAAATGTGTATAAAATATTAGACAACTCTTTTCTTTAAAACAGTAATAAAGTGATAGGTTGCAGATCCGAAATACTAAAATGGCAAAATTTTATGCAATCCTTCACCTAAGCAGTCGATAACCCAGAAAAATAAAAAGCTGCATGTGCCCTGAGACGCACATAGGTCATGAGTGACAAGTAAAAATAGTATGCCTTAGGACCAATACAACAATCCAATTTCAATAAGTAGAAAATAATTTCATACTTACTCGCACAATACCACATATTTTTCAAGAGAGTCAATCAGTAGTTTGCTATCGCCTTGATGAAAGTGTAGAGCAGGGAGAACGGCGTCATCCTTTAGACAGAATACCAAATACGACCAGCCCATACCCTCTTTGTTTTGCTTGATTGATTTCAGGTCTGTCAAACTGAACAGGAATGACCATTTGCTTTTCCCATTTCTATGACTTGGAGCATCTTAAAAACAAGAAAATGGGGCAAAATATTTTTGTTCACCTTTTTAAAAGGTACTGACAGTGCTCTTCATGATTGCCTTAACAGAAATTTGTTGACCCTAGGGAATGACTATACCATACATATCACTAAAGCTTCCACCTGTATTTAAAATGGCAACATGTATTTCCTTAAAAAAATAATTTTTAAAATAATTATTCCTATTGCACACAAATTAAAAAGGTTATCCCCAATTAAATATAAACTTTGCATAAAATGAACATGGCTTTGGAAACAGGCTGGCTGGATCTAAACTGCAGTACCACAATCTCACTAACTGAATGATCTGGAGCAAATAACTAAATATTTCTGAGCCTCAGCTTCTTCATCTATAAAATGGAGCTAATTATACTTACCTCCCAATGTTATTCTAAGAATTAAAAGAGATAATACTTGTCAATTAACTAGGTACAGTGCAAAGTATATAGAAAATACTCAATAAATGTTAATCTTTCCACTCCCCCAAATATGAATGCTATGATGCTCCTGGACAATCATTTAAAACAAAAAACAAAAACAAAACCTTTATTTCCCTCACTTCCTTTTGCAATTATTTTTCCTAGATTACAGGGAGTGAAGGTAAATATACCAGTATAAAAAATAACATTGGAGTGAACAGACTTTTCTTTCTTTCTTTATGGGGGGGGGAGACAAAAACCCAGAGAGCAGTGGGGAATTAAGGGTGAAAAGATAACTAGCCCTAACCGGTTTGCTCAGTGGTTAGAGCGTCAGCCTGCGGACCAGAGAGAGGAGGGTTCGGTTCCCACTAAGGGCATGTACCTCGGTTGCAGTTTGTCCCCAGCCCTGGTTGGGACTGTATGGGTGGTGACCACTCGGTGTGTCTCTCTCACATGGATGTTTCTCTCTCTCTCTTCCTCCCTCTCTCCCTCCCACTCTATCTAAAGATAAGCGCAAAAAAAAAAAAGGTCCTCGGGTGAGAGGAAAAAAAAAGATAACTAAATTGTGAATGCTTCAAAGAGAATGAATACATTTAATGTTCCTGCTAAGTCAATCTTTTACTAAATTAAGACCTTATTTCAAATAAAACTATAGTTATGTAAAATAAAGCATTTTCTGAGTTTATGGACTGTTTACACAAGCTTTAAATACTAGGCTTGTGAACAATACCATAGATGATCAGCAATTTAAAGATTATCTATTTAACTAAAAAGTTAAACAAGGGAAAATGTTATGTTTCTTCTCATTAATGCAATTAATTTCTAATCACTTTAACATTTTAACTCAATAGCATGTTATATCTCTGAAATTTCAAAAAACATTTTCCCTAGTGTTATTTCCTAAAAAGTGTCATACTATCCTGTTATTCAAGCTCTTCATTAATTCCGTCCCACACTATCAATTCTACAAAAATAAACTGGTGTTGATCACCTTCTTATATAGTCAGGAACACTACAGCTCCATCACCTCCAATAAGGTCTCCTAAACTGAAACAAAGAAATCTACAGCTTACAGAAACCCCTACCTGCAAGGAATGCAGGCACCACCACTATTTCATGGGCACTTGAGCAAGTATCATTTCAAAGGAAGCCCAGAAAGGCTAAAGTAACACACCGTTTCGAATAGCGAGCTCATATCTAAGATTGGTACTAGATTAAGTGCCATGTGCCCACTTGACTACTACACATTATGTTTTACTGGAATTTATATTATAGAGCTTATATCACTACTATAAGCTAGTTATCAAAGTAAGAACAATTCTACAGTTCCAGCATCTTCATAAATCATTTAAGTGTGAATATATTTGAACTGCCTAGAAAGGATACATATTACTTTATTATTTGAAAAGACCAAAATTATTTTCACAGTTAAAAAGCAATGTTAAAACTAAATATAAGCCTTGGCCGGTTTGGCTCAGCAGTTAAGAACGTCAGTCTGTGGTCCAGAGAGACCTGGGTTCGGTTCCCGCTAAGGACACATACCTTGGTTGCAGTTTGTCCCTGCCCCTGGTTGGGTTGTGCGAGTGGCAGCCACTCAATGTGTCCCTTTCACATCGATGTTTCTCTCTCTTCCTCTCTCTCCCTCCCACTCTATCTAAATAAAAAAAAAAAAAAAAAAGGAAAAAATGTTCCTGGGTGAGGATAAAACCAAAAAAAAACTAAATACAAACATTTAAATAAAAATTTTAAATTATACAAAAAAGTATTCAACCCAAATTACTGTAAGAAAATTTTGTGGAGAATATTAAATAATACATGTAGGTTATATGAATAATCAGCAATTTGTATATATTAAAAACTAAAAATTTTACACAGATTTTTCATTAATGGAAGAGACACACATTACATATTAAATAAAACAGAAAATTCCTCACACATTTCCTCACTTAAAATGCTGATAAATGATGAGTAACACTAAGTCTAGAGTTCCCTTTACTAGAATATAGCTTCATGAGAAAAGGAACTTTATTTTGTCACAACTATATCCCCAGGTCCTAGAACAGGGATTACTACATAAAAGGCACTCAAAGATGTGTTGAATAAACGAATAAGCTAGTGCCAAGTGAACATAAAAGTAATCTGCAATTTAATATACCACCAAAAGCTAACCAGAAACAGAAATGGTTACAAAGAAAAACAGAAACCAAGAGTTAACTCAAAATTTCCTTCTTTTTCCTTATAGCAAAGTAAATAAACCTAACTAGTTCTGCCGAACTTAGTAAGTTACCAAATAATTTACTACATAAACATCTCCAACACACTGACATGGGAAAACTGGCCACAGCAGCAGAAGAGTAAAACAAAAGAGCTCAATAAATATCCATGTCTTGAACCAAATTAACATCAAGGACATGACACTTGAGACAGGTTTGCAGAACATCATGGCAGTCTCGTTCTGGGAATATACATTTTCAAAACATTTGATCTGGTACATAAAAACAAAGATTTAGCAGTAGAAACTCTTAAGAAATATGAAGTTGAATACATCTTTGATAGTCAATTTTTTAAAGATTTGTCCCAAATGTTCTTTGTGAGTCACCAAAAAGAGTAAAAAGTAAAAAGTGAAGGTTGCCCAGTCAGTATGACTCAGTGATTGAGTGTCGACCCATGCACCAAGAGGTCGCCAGTTTGATTACCAGTCAGGTCACATGCCCAGGTTGTGGGTCAAATCCCCAGTAGGGGGAATGCAGGAGGCAGCTAATCTATGTTCTCTCTCATCGATGTTTCTCTCTCTCCCCCCGCTTCTTCCTCTCTCTAAAATCAATCAATAAAGAAAAAAAAGTGTAGCCCTCGCCAGTTTGGCTCAGAGGTTAGAACATCAGCCTGAGGAACAAAGGGCTGTGGGTTCGATTGCTGGTCAAGGGCACGTACTTGGGTTGCAGGTTTAGTCCCCAGGCCCTGTTGGGTAACCAGACAATGTGTCTCTCTTACATCAATGTTTCTCTCTCTCCCCTTCTCCCCTTTCACTCTGTCTAAAAGTCAGTGAAAGAATATCCTCAGGTGAAGATTAACAACAACAACAAAAGTGAAGGTTGTAATAAATAAAAATTTTTATTTGGAAAAAATGCTTTTTAAAAATATAAAAATGTTTTATAATGGCACAATTTTGAATTCTGAAACATCAAGCCTAGAAACTGTTTCCTTTAGGAAGGAGTTTTAATAAAATATAATCAGATGGGATATTCTAGGACAGGATAGGATGGGACAGAGTGCAGTGCACTTCATAAATCCTGGTTTTGTTAAATATGTGTATGCATACCGGGCCAGTTTCTTACTGCTATGCACAATCATAATTTTTTTTTAAATACTAAAAAGAAAACAGAAAAATATCTTAACTTTTAAAAATGTTTTCTTTCTTTATTGATTTTAGAGAGGAAGGGAGAGGGAGAGAGAGAGAAACATTGATGAGAGAGAACATCAATTGGTCGTCTCCTGCATGCCCCCCACTGGGGATTGGGCCCACAACCTGGGCATGTGCCCTGACCAGGAATCAAACTGGTGACCTTCTGGTGCATGAGCCACACCGGCCAGGCATCTTAACTTTTAATAATTAAGAAGTCAAGTTATATTCTTTACTTTGTAAGTCACAATGCATGGCCAAGCCATGTAAGCAGTATTTACACCTGCGGATTTTTGCTAAGCTACACAGAGGTTCTCAACTTCACACATTTAAATCACTAGGAGAGAGTTATTTTTTAAAAAGCCTAATCTTCCCAAATGATTTTAATGTGCAGCCAAAGTTGAAAATTATTATTCTAAAAAGATCTTTTGCCCTGGTCAGGTGGCTCAGTTGGTTGGAGCATCATCCCATACAGCAAAAGGTTGCAGATTCGATTCCAGGTCAGGACACATACCTAGGTTGCAGGTTTGATCCCTGGTCGAGGCACGTACAGGAGGCAACTGATCCATGTTTCTCTCGCTCTCTAAAATAAATAAATAAATAAAATAAAAAGACCTTTATTGTCAGATTATGCTTTTCTCATCCATGTAATTCCTTTTTCTTCTATAAAATTCTGAAAACTCCTTTTGCTCATTTCTGTAGCCTGACATTTTCATGTTCAAGGACTTAACAGCATTAGGCAACAACAACAACAACAAAAAAAGCAATTCACATAACCAATCCTGAAGAGCTGGTCTAGAAAACTTAAAAATCCCTCACATGACAAATATACTAAAATCCTGTGGTTTTATATTTCCTTAACACTTTCCAATGTTCTGGTTAAGAACCTTCCCTTTCAGTAGAAAGGAAATTCCAAAAAATAAACAGATGAGAGACACACACACGCATGCATGCATGAACTGATTATTGGCAATATCTTGTGACTATTTACTTCTTAATTGCCACTGTGCCACTGTTTCCAAGAAATGATACATTTCAAAATATAACTATTATACATGAGAATAATTCCCCAGGCCATACATGAAAATCAATTTTACTTTGCAACAACACTATATAAATGTACCGATACATATTCTAATAAATTTTGGCCAGCTTTTTGAATCTGGTAAATATGGATAAATTCCTATATTCAGATCAAAATTATTAAGAGATTAAAATACACTTTTAGTTCTAAAACACAGAGGAATCAATAAAAGGACAATATTTAGTCCAGCCAGTGTGGTTCAGTGGAATGTCATCCCATGGACTGAAGGGTTCCAGTTTGCTTTCTGGTCAGGACACATGCCCTGGTTGCAGGCCTGGTCCCTGGTGGGGGAGGTGCAGGAAGTGGCTAATCGATGTTTCTCTCTCACATCAATGTTTCTCTCTCCCTCCCTTCCTCTCTCTCTAAAAAATCAATAAAAACATATTTAAAAAAAAAATTTTAACTTTATACAGGTGTTTAATTATTTTTAATTATTTTTTCCGTTAATCCTCACATGAGGACATTTTTTCCATTGATTTTTCAGAGAGTAGGAGGGAGGGAGGGAGGGAGGAGGAGGGGGGAGGGAGAGGAGAGAAGGAGGGAGAGAGAGACACATCAATATGAGAAAGACACATCGAATGGTTGCTTCCCACACAAGCCACAACCGGGACCTGGGATCAAACCTACAACCCAGGTACATGCCCTTGACCAGAAATCGAACCCTGGGACCCTTCAGTGCACAGACCGATGCTCTAACCACTGATCACCACCAGCCAGAGCAAGTGTTTAATATTTTTTAAATGTTTTTATTGATTTTTTTTTTTTTAAAGAGAGAGGAGGGATAGAAACATTGATGTGAGAGAGAGACATCAATCAGCTGCCTCCCACACACCCTGTACTGGGCATTGAGCCCACAACCCGGGCATGTGCTCTGACTGAGATTTGAACTGGAACTTCTCTGTCCATGGGACGACACTCGATCCACTGAGCCACACCAGCCGCGTTTAATATTTTAAAAGCGATCAATCACAAATAACCTGCCCATATCACAGATGGGCTGGCCAGACTGTATTGGAGAAGTATATGTGTTCTATCAGACTGTTAGCTTGGCTCTTCTTTGTTATCTACATGTAGATAATTACCACACAGCAAACACATATTTAAATATATATAAAGGAGAATAGTCCCTGAACATGTATAAAGGGGAGACTGCAATGAGCTGTGAAGATTCCAATAAACACTGAAATTAGAATGGGATGGTTTAGTGGTATACTCCATCTCCCCCTGGTGCTTTAGGATGAAATAACATTTTTTAAAATTCTACTAGATTAAGAAAAATGTGCAAGAGAGACAGCCAAAGCAATTTTCTAAAGTGTTTCTATTTTCTGCCATTAGTAACTACAAAATAGAAAAGGGGTTTTTAAAGCCTTTTTTAATGAAGTCACTACCAACACAACAACAAAAAAAGAAATGAAAAGGGAATATAACTAAAATATGAGAGTTATATGTACCAAAGCACTACCAGAGCATCCCTCTTCTCTGACTGAGTAACATTAAAGAACTTTCTTTGCACTTTTGCTTAATATGATATCATAGCTAATCAGTTTAAGATTTCAAAAGATTTAATTCATACCTCCATTGGTATGTGGTTTCTTTTTAAATGAAACAGTGTTAACCATGTCCCACTCTGCTTCGTAACTGTTCATATGTTCTGGTCCTCGATGAGCTCTTTCTTTTGGGGCCTGGGTCCATTCAACAACTGAACTTGAGTCCTAAAATAATTATAACATATAAAATATTTAGAGACTAGAAGTATAATTTAATTTCAATCAACATCTTTTCAGCATCTATATAAATTAAGGCAGGTATCACTGGTGGAAAAATGAAACACTATTTCTTATCATTTTCTCCCTTGACCATCTTTATCAAAAACATAAGAAAAGCTTACCTGGCTCTCCCTCTTGGGACCACACCTGCACCATTCCCATCCCCCTCTTCTTCCCCCTAGTTGTGTTGTGACAGGATATTTAGAAGTTAGAAAAATTCCTGGGCAAATGGAAGGGGAAACTAAGACAAGAAAATTAAACAAGGCCCAAAAGTCTAGGCAGCTTGCATCCAGCTTGTGAATCACAAGACCTTATCTTCCCCAATCAAGGACACTTGAGAACAAATGGTTAATACCTCTTCTCCCTAACCAGAGAATACATAGCTTAAATCACCCTGGAACTGCTAAGGCAGGAGGAGGGAAGGGGGAAGGAAAAAAGGGGTGTTTTATCTAACCCACTGAACAAAGAATCAGCCGTCTTATGACTTGCCAAACAAGACGACCAGGTGTATATACAAACGTCCCAAGAAAAGCTACAACAAAGTAAAAGGGAGATTTTGAAACCTAATCTGCAACCCAAGCTATCTGGCAGAGGAACCTTAAAACCTGTAGACAGAAAGGTATAAAATCACTTGAACCCCTACTGGACATGTACTCAAAAAAGCTGGCTGCTCACTTGTGCTTTATGCAAAGTGTATTTTAATTTGCTTGCCTTGCTTTCTTTTTTTTTTTTTTTTTTTTTGTGGTACATGCCCCTAGTGGAAATTGAACCTGGGACTCTCTGGTCTACAGGCCGACACTCAACCGCTGAGCCAAACTGGCCAGGGTTTGCCTTGCTTTCTTAATAAATTTGCTTGCTTTGCTACAACGCTGCTATCTAGTGTCACTTGTTTGACATCTTCTTACCAGACTGGCAAGAATGGAGAAGGGGACAGCCCTCTCCCTCTGACTTGGGGTGGGGTCTGTCCGATAACATCTTTTCTGCTGTCCCATACCAGTGTTGCCTTGCTTTTCCCTCTCCTAAGCTCCAAGGGTCCTTCTTTTGCATCTGTAACTAGTTTCCTGAGCCTACACAGCCCAGCTGACTCACTTCTACTACCTTTGTAATTTTCTAAATAAACTTTCTGATATTTGGGGGAGGGGGGAAAGCTTACCCAGATTCCTTGTAGTTAGGGTTGCCAATGAAATATAAGCAGAAGTCTGCAGGGCTTCTGGAAATGCTTTTGCTTTCCTAATAAAGGCCTCATCCCTTTTTCCTAATTTCAATGAAGCTGTATTATCTAAAAATATGGCAGCCATTTTATAAGCATAAGAGAAAAAAAACAAGAAACCACTACAAATAGCTCCAAATCTACAGACTTCTGGTTGAGGAAAAGAGTCAATGATGGCACCCTGGCCAGTTTGGCTCAGCAGTTAGAGCGTCGGCCTGCGGTCCAGAGAGACCTGGGTTCGGTTCCCGCTAAGGGCACATATCTCGGTTGCAGTTTGTCCCCGGTTGTGTTTGGGTCATGTGGGAGGCAGCCATTCAATGTGTACCTTTCACATCGCTGTTTCTCTCTCTCCCTCTCACTTTATCTGAACAAAAAATGGAAAAATGTCCTTGGGTGAGGATTAAAAAAAAAAGAGAGTCAATGATGGCTACTTACTTAAGCCACCATCGGATGTATATTTCCCTTAATCAAAACTAGCTCAAAGATACAAATAACATATCTCCATATATAGTTCGAATAAAACTTGCCATTTAAAAGGTAACCAAAAGTCTAAAATACAGTGTTAATAATTTGACTAAACCAAAAAGTTTAACTTCTATACAGCAAAAGATACCACACATAAGTAAAAAAGAACCAAGACTGGGTAAAAATGTTTCCAAAATATATGGTAGATGACATAAAAACATCCAGAACACAAAAACAACTACTACCAATTTATTTAGAAATCAAAAAACATTAAAAAAGAAAAATAAGCCTGGCCAGTGTGGCTCAGTGGATTGAGCGTTGCCCATGGACTGAGAGGTTCCAGTTCAATTCCTGTCAGGGCACATGCCCAGGTTTCAGGCTCAATCCCCAGTATGGGGCGTGCAGGAGAAAACTGATCAATGTTTCTCTCTCACATCAATGTTTCTATCTCTCCCTTCCTCTCAAAACAAAAACCAAAAATCAATAAAAACATATTTTTTCAAAGAGAGAGAGAGAGAGAGAGCCCAGCCAGTGTGCCTCAGTGGTTTAGCATGGACCCATGCATCAAGAGGTTGCCAGTTCAATTCCCGGTCATGGCATATGCCCAGGTTATGGGCCCAATCCCCAGTGGGGGAAATGGGAGGCAGCCAATCAAAGTTCTCTCATCGATGTTTCTATTTCTCTCCCTCTCCCTTTCTCTCTCTCTCTCTAAAATCAATAAAGAAAAATATTTTTTTAAAAGAGAGAGAAATATAAGCAAATAGTATAAACAAGCAAGTCGAAGAAGAAATATAAAGTGACAAACATATAGGAAGACATGCAACTTAAGAAACAATCAAAGAAAAGCAAGTTAAGATGAATTTTAATTATTTTGCCCCAATCAATTAAAAATATGAAACACAGTGAGGGAAAATGCTGTCCCACACTGTGATTATGGTACTTACTTCAAAAAGGTGATTCAGCCAAACATTAAAATTCAAAATAGGCATGTGTTTCACCATAGTAACACTTCTTTTCATCATCTACCCCACAGAAATACATGTACACAAAGAGGCATATACAAGAATATCCATTACAGTATTGTTTGCAAAAGTGAAAAAATTGGAAATATCTTAATATCCATGAATGAAGAAATGAGTATAAACTACAGGTAGCCAATGAAATACTAGCCAGTAGTTTAAAGACTGATATATGTTAATATGCATATATGTGCAATACATAGTAGTAAATAAAAAATGTTCACAATGTGTGTAACATAACTACATGTAAATATATAATTTAGAAATGCACAGGAGAAAACTAGGGATGGATAAATAGAAAGGAAAATTGTACAGATAAATTCTTGAAAGAAATACACTTAACAGGCATGGACTTCAACTTATTATTTGAATTTTTACAACAAGAGTGTATTAACTATTACTAATATCATTCTTTCTTATTTTAATTTTTTGTTATAGATGCTTCTTCTTTTTTCCCCACTGACACCCTCCTTTCAACCCCACCCCACCCCCAGCATTACTGTCTATGTCCATGGTTACGCATACATGCAAGTAAGTTCTATGGTTTATCTCTTCCCTCCCCAACACCCCTCTCCTCTGAGGCTTGTCAGTCTGTACCCTACTACTCTGGGTCTATTTTGTTCATCAGCTTGTTTTGTTTTTTATATTCCACAAATAAGTGAGATCATGTGATATCTGTCTTTCTCTGATTGGCTTGTTTCACTAAGAATAATATTCTCTAGGTCCCTCCATGTCGTCTCAAAGGACAAGAGATCTTTCTTTCTTACAGCTGTATAATATTCCATTGTGTATATGTACCAGTTTTTTTATCCACTCATCTTTGATGGACACTTGGGCTGTTTCCAGATCTTAGCTATTGTAAATAGTGCTGCTATGAACACAGGGGTACATATATACTTTGTGGTTGGAGATTCAGGCATCTTAGGGTATATATTCCTAGAAGTGGGATCACTGGGTCAAATAGCAGTTCAATTTTAATTTTTTGAGGTAACACCATAGTGTTTTCCATAGTGGCTGCAACAGTCTGCATTCCCACCAGCGGTGCACTAGAGTCCCCTTTTCTCCACAAGCTTGCCAACACTTGTTGTTTGATGATTTGCTTATGGCAGCCATTCTGGCAGGTGTGAGGTGATACCTCATAGTCGTTTTATCATTCTTCTCTTTTTAAAAGGGGAAAAAGGGCCCTGGCCAGTTTGGCTCAGCGGTTAGAGCTTCGGTCTGCGGTCCAGAGAGACCCGGGTTCGGTTCCCACTGAGAACATGTACCTCAGTTGCAGTTTGTCCCTGGCCCTGGTTGGGTCGTGCAAGTGACAACCACTCGATGTGTTCCTTTCATGTTGATGTTTCTCTCTCTCTCTCTCTTTCTCTCTCTCCCTCCCACTCTACCTGAACAAAAAAACAAAACAAAAAATGTCCTCGGGTGAGGATTAAAAAAGAAAAACTGAAAATATTTTCTAGAAAATAATATACACACACACACAAAGAATTAGAAAATAGGAAATAAAGTATTAAAAAATTACAGGACCAGCCCTGGTCAGTTTGGCTCAGCTGTTAGAGCATCGGCCTGCGGTCTATAGAGACCCAGGTTTGGTTCTCACTGAGGGCACGTGCCTCAGTTGCAGTTTGTCCCCGGCCCTGGTTGGGTCATGTGGGAAGCAGCCACTCGATGTGTCCTTTTCACGTCGATGTTTCTCTCTCTCCCTCCCACTCTATCTGAACAAAAAATGGAAAAATGTCCTCGAGTGAAGATTTAAAAAAAAAAAAAATTACAGGACCAGTCCAGAAGGTCTAAAGAGTTCCATAAAGATGGAAAATAAAGAGGAGGAAGAAATAATCACTGAAATAACTCAGCAACATTTCCTAAGAACTAAAAGACAGTTTCCATATTAGGAGGTCCCATCAAGCCCTGGCCAATATGGCTGAATGATTCTAGTGCTGGCCAGTGCATTAAAGCGTCACAGGTTCAATTCCCAGTCAAGGGTACATATCTGGGTTGGTGGTTTGATCCCCAGCCTCAGTAGGGGCTCATAAGAAAGGCACTCAGTGAATGTGTCTCTCTCACACTGATTCCCTCCCTTCTTTCTACTCTCTCTAAAAAAAAAAAAAAATCAATGGAAAAAAATATCCTCGAGTGAGGATTAACAAAAATAAATAAAAATGCCCATCAAGTACCTAGCCCTAGCACAAAGGATAAAAAAGACTACAAAGGTTCTTTACCAGGACATCTAAATCATCAGAAATGAAAAGGCAATCCTAAAGGGTTCTAAACAGGAAAATCCTAAAAGATTCTAAAGAGCATCAGGAATCAGAATGCATTCAACTTAACATCAATAAAGAAAACTAGACAGCCCTGGCCAGTTTGGCTCAGCGGTTAGAGCGTCGGCCTGCGGTCTGGAGAGACCCGGGTTCGGTTCCCGCTAAGGGCATGTACTTCGGTTGCAGTTTGTCCCCGGCCCTGGTTGGTCGTGCGGGTGGCAACCACTCGATGTGTCCCTTCATGTCGATGTTTCTCTCTCTCTCTCTCCCTTCCTCTCTCTCCCTCCCACTCTATCTGTACAAAAAATGGAAAAATATCCTTGGGTGAGGATAAAAAAAAAAAAAAAACTAGACAAACCTGGGATGATAATTTTCAAAAACATGTGGGCCCTGGCCAGTCTGGCTCAGCGGTTAGAGCATCGGCCCGCAAAACAGAGAGTCCCGGGTTCAGTTCCCGCTAAGGGCACGTACTTCGGTTGCCGTTCATCCCCGGCCCTTGTTGGGGTCGTGTGGGTGGCAGCCAATGTGTCTCTCTCACGTCGATGTTTCTCTCTCTCTCTTCCTCCCTCTCTCCCTCCCATTCTATCTGAAGATGAATGCAAAAATGTCCTCAGGTGAGGATAAAACACAAAACAAAAAAATCAAAAACATGTGGGAAATTTATTTCCAAACTGTAATTCTATGTCAGACAAGCTATCCGATTCAGAATAAAAATAGAAAGTCTAAAAAGAGAAATCTTTTTGCCCCCATGCATCTTTTTTCTTAGGAAGCACTTGAACTGCACCAAAACATGTGAGATAACAGCATAGAATACAAAACAAAAACAAAAAACAAAAAAAGGGGGACTGAAATATGGGAAAGAGGCAAAAAGAGTCCCCAGGATAACTGTTGCATAGCAAACCAAAAGAGCAACCAGTCTTGAAGCTGGAAGAAATGTCTCTATGAAGAAGAAATTAGAAGATTATGTATATGATTAAATACTTTTAAGAAGAAATGTGGACAACTGACCCAGAGTTTCAAGGTGAAGGTGAAATAGAGATAAAATAGAGCTAAATCTCTACCTACCATAGTGAGAAATCAACACAATACAAATGTTAAACATAAGCCCGGTGGATGTGTCTCAGTGGTTGAGCATCGACCCATTCACTAAGAGGTCGACGGTTTGATTCCAGGTCAGGGCACATGCCCAGGTTGTGGGCCTGATCCCCAGTGGAGGGCATGCAAGAGGTGGCCAATCGATGTTCTCTCTCATCAATATTTCTCTCTCTCTCTCTCTCCCCCATCTTCTGTCTCTCTAATATATCAATAAAAAAATAAAATAAAAATGTTAAACATAAGTTAACATAAAACCCAATGATTCTACTCCTAGGTTTTCAAGAGAAAATATATGTCCACACACAAACTTATACATGGATGTTCAGAGCAGTATTATTTATATTAACCTAAACATAAAAACAACCCAAGTATCCATCAAATAATGAATAAACAAAACATGGTATATTCATAAATGCAGTATTACTCAGAGAAAAAAGAAAATGCTGATAGATACTATTAACGTGGATGAAGCTTGAAACTTTATGCTAAGTGAAAGAAGCCAGTCACAAAAGACCATATATTGTATGATTCCATATAGACAAAATGTCCACAATACGCAAATTCAGAGACAAAGAAGATTAGTGGCTACCAGGGACTAGAAGAGGGGTGTGGGAAGTGACTGATAAAAGGTACTTTCTTTTTCAGGAGTGATGAAATTTTCTGAAATTAGATACTGGTGATGGATGCAGAAAACTGTAAATATACCCAAACCACTGAATTATATACTGTAAAAGAGTGAGTTTTATGGTATATGAATTGTATCTCAATAAAGTTATTATTTTTTTAAAAGGCAAAACTTTCTTTAGTCATATATTTTTTTCTTAAATACCTTTCCAGCATAGAGAATACTAGAAGAATCTAACGCATCATCCAATGGTCTCCAATCCACTATCACTTCAGCATCCTAGAGAAAAAATTATAAACTATATTTACTATTCAGCAATATCTTACATTCTTAGTCACCTACTTTTAAGTCCCTCAATCCAAAATAAAATTTTAAACCCTTAAATATTAGCACTTTAAATATGCAGTATCATATGTAAACTACTATATGTAGATTTCAAAACTCTGCTTACATTTTACTATAAAATTTTATTATTGCAACTTTTACATAGTAAGTTTTCAAGCATCCTATGCCATTTTACTGACTTATCTAAAGTATTTTATTTCTAACATCATTTCATGTTAAATTTACAATCACTATTCAATTACATGATTTTATCTTACACATGAAATTCAAATTTGCTGATAATGCCCCCAAGATGAGTCACTAACATGGACAATTATTAAAATAATTCACTAGAAACATACCTTTTCTAAAACACGTAATATTCCTGAAATCAAGCTGTCTTGGTCACTGGTTTTTCCACAAGATGAGTGAACATAGACACCTTCCTGTTCATATATTATCTGGAACAGCAAAAATAAGATCAATCACAGCATTTTTATTCAATACCATTTCAACATCAGTTTTTTAAAAATTAAGAGATATTTTCCTATAATACCTGAATCAAGTTTCTGATAATTGCATATATAAAGGCATTATTTTAAAAACAGCACTCAGACTTAAGAGAACTTCAAACAAAGATAAATTGGAAGTTTACTTTGTTATGCATGAAAGTTTTGAGGTTAGTGATTATCACAATCTTAACCTTCTCTATAAACAAAGATATCAGGCTAATTTCTGTCTCAATAAACAAAGTGACTTAGCCCTGGCCAGTTTGGCTCAGCAGTTAGAGCGTTGGCCTGCGGTCCGGAGAGACCCGGGTTCGGTTCCCGCTAAGGGCACGTACTTCGGTTGCAGTTTGGCCCCGGCCCTGGTTGGTCGTGTGGGTGGCAGCCACTCGATGTGTCCCTTCACGTCGATGTTTCTCTCTCTCTCTCTCCCTCCCACTCTATCTGTACAAAAACAAAAAAAAAACAAAGTGACTTCAATATGTTTTTAACACACATTAAGCAAAATACTGGATCCAAACTGAAAATGGACCTGAAAATATTCAAGAATAAGAAGAGATAAAATACAATGAGGAATCAATGCTTTCTAACTATTCCCATAATAGCATTTTTTTTTTTTAAATCCTCACCTGAGGACACTTTTCCATTTCTTGTTCAGATAGAGTGGGGAAGGAGAGAGAGAGAGAGAAACATCGATGTGAAAGGGACACATCGAGTGGTTGCCATCCACACAACCAACCAGGGCCGGGGACAAACTGCAGCCGAGGTACATGCCCTGAGCGGGAACCCAACCCGGACCTCCCTGGACCGCAGGCCGATGCTCTACCGCTGAGCCAAACTGGCCAGGGCAATATAGCATATTTTTTACTGTAAAATCATTTTGTTTACAACAACCCAGCAGAGTGGCATAGATATTTAGAGAATAATATGAGAATTTTAAATAAGAATGATGAGGAATTCTAGAAATAACTAGTTTCAACTAATTCAAGATCACAAATATTTACTGAGTACTTCTATATGTAAAACCATGTAAAAGACCACATGTATATGAATATGATTAACATATGGTCCCAATGTTAAGTCTTATCTTCTAAAGGAACCCATTTGAATTATTATTGTTTTAATTATGAAAATAAGTACAAGGAAAATAAAAGAGTCACATTTAGACCAAAGTACTTTTGACATATGTAAGTTTGGAATGGAGTGTACTTTTTATTTATATAGACCTTTTATTAATATAATCACATCACTATTCAGAATAGCATGGGGATCAACAATGCAGGACAAGCCCCACCAGAGCCCATCACCATCGCCATCCAGCTGATGAATATAAATTGGCATGTATTCTGTTTTTAGCTAACATTCATGGAAAACTTATGTACCAGGAACTCCACAAGTTGTAACTTAATGTTTACAACAACCCTACATCATAGGTTCTATAAATATATCCTACTACATCATTAGGATAAGGAGTCCATTTGTGTAAATGAGAAAACTGACAGAGAGGTTAAATAACTTGCCTAAGGTCGATGATACAAAGAGTAAAGGGTGGTTAGAAAGTGGTGTAGAGATTGAAACCTAGGCAATCTGACACCAGAAAACTGATCTTAGCCACTGCACTACAGAACCCCCACATTATTTTACTGCCTCTCCTGTGTTATGTTAGTCACTTCTGATATGGACTTATATCATGTCAGAAAAGAGTCTTCTAATAATCAAGATCACCAGAAAAGTACTGAACTCAAAAAACCCAAAATGGCCATCGACAAAATAGTTATTAAGCAACAGACTAGCATTAAGTAGAAGGCAAAAATTAGTATTGTGGGACACAATTCTATTGTTTGTCTAGAGATGAAAAATGTTAATGTATACAGATTTACTCACACACATCCATAAATATATTCATAAGATTATTCACAATAGTATGATTTATTACTTATAATATCAGAGGGGGGAGTGAGAAAAGGAGGAAAGGAAAGGTATGAATCTAAATGTCCACAATGAGGAAAATGATCAAACTATACCCTGGGATATATTTTTTTTTATCCTCACCCAAGGACATATTTGCATTTATCTTCAGATGGGGGGGGAGGTGAGAGAGAAACATCAACGTGAGAAAGACACACCGAATGGTTGCCACCCACATGACCCGAACCAGGGCCGGGACAAAATGCAACCGAATTACGTGCCCCTAGCAGGAACTGAACCGAGACTCTCTGGTCCACAGGCCGCTGATCCAAACTGGCCAGGACACCCTGGGATTTTCTTCCTATGAGGAATGTTATTCAGAAGTTAAGAAAGAATGAGGAAGATTAAATAGACAAACATACATACATACATGGGGAAAAATGTCAATTATTTACAGTATGATGACATTTATATTTTTAAAACATTTTCGGTATCTCTGTAAAATACATAAAGCAAGTTATGTGGGGACATGCTTTAAGCTGTCAACAGAAGTTACTTCTGGAAGAGAGAATGGGATGGGGAAAGGTTGAAAGTGTAACTAACTTTTTATGTTAATACCTCTAATTTCTTTTAGTAGTTAAAAGTTATATATTGCTTTAGTACTTAAAAAAATAATTTTAATGTGTAAAGTGAAAAAAGAAAATTCCAAAAGCATATACTGTAACCTTTCCAGACTTCTGTTTATGAGTTCATAAAACAGAATAGTTATAACTGGAGCCACAAAATGGATCTAAGAAAAAGTTATGGAAAAGAAATCCCTTAAAATCTCAAGCTTTAGTAACAAATAGATCAGAGACATTTCCAGAAACTACACTTTAGCATATTTTCACTAGTTTAATATACTCAGGTATTACAATAACCAAATTCAAAGTTCTCATAGAAAAGGGGGCACTCACTTGCCAAGAAAAGCTTGGTATCATTAACAAGACAACCTAAGGTTCAGAGATACTATTAACACTAAAGAGATTCTGGAAGCTTAATGAAGTGAACCCTAAACAATCAAGTGCAACATTTTACCTAACTGAAACATATTATGCAACTCTTTCTTTCCCATATATGTTAGTCTATTTTTCCAGATAAGAAGAAGCTGAGTTTCCTAAATAATCCATCTGGGAAAATATCTTTAAAGTATTAAAGTACTAGGCACCTTATGAAAAAGTTGCCCTAAGTTGAGGAAATAGAGCTGGGAACTGAGGGGAGGCCAAGAAAGAGTTCACAGGACAATACCAGAAAAGAGAGAAATGCTCAGAGAGAGAGAACTCAGGAGGTCTACAGAGGTCACTGAGTGTTCTACAAGTGCATATGTATCAGTAAACTACCTAAGGAAAGGGGAAAAACCACCTGAAATTATTAGAAAACAATTTGCAGGCTCACACAGAGCTGTTCCCACCAGAGTGGGGAGCCTTATAATTCACAGGGCATTGGGTAGGGTACTCTGAATAGTATTGGTTCAGCACTGTAGCAAAATTAGTTCCACATCAAATGCTATGCTGATACCATCTAGCAAGTTTAAAAGCAAGACCCAAAAGTATCAAATGATTTCCACATAACAAGTCCTTCTAGGATAAAACTCAAGAATATTTAACAGGAATACAAAGATACCTAGCACCTATAATAAAATTTACAATATCTGACATCTGGAAAAAGAAAAAATTTAGCAACATATTAACATAGTACTATAACCCATAATGAGATAAGGAAGGAGAGTGGGAAAGACAAGGTCAATGGAAAAAAAGGGGGACATCTGTAATACTTTCAACAACAACAACAATAAAGATAATAAGGAAGAAAATCAGCCAATAAAGTTATCCAAAACGATCGTGGTCAGTCTGGTTCAGATCAAAGAGTCATGGGTTTGATTCCAGTCAAGGGCACATACCCTTGGTTGAGGTTGTGCAGGAGGCAACCAACTGATGTGTCACTCTCACATCGATGTCTGCCTGTCTGTCTGTCTATCTATCTATCTTCCTGCGTGCTCGCTCTCTCTCTCTCTCTCTCTCTCTCTCTCCCTCCCTCCCTCCCTCCCACTCTATCTGAAAATCAATGAAAAAATATCTTCAGGTGAGAATTTAAATAATAATCCAAAATAACACAAATAGAATAGAGAAGGATATTAAAACATTATTATAACTGAATCCCATGTATTCAAGACACTAGAGAAAAGTTAGAGCTCACTAAAAGAAAACATCACAAATATTACAAAGACTCAATAAAACTTCTAAAGATGAAAACTACAATGTCTCAAATGAAAAATACACTGAGTATTTGGCATATCAGACACCGCAGAAGAATAATGAACTTGAAGTCACAGCAATAAACTATACAAAACATAAAGACCCGGGGAGAAAGACTGATAAAAAGTGAATAGAGCATCAATGAGCTGCAGGAAAACATCAAGTATCTAGTATATGCATAACTGAAGTACCTGAAAGAGATAATGAAGAGGAGAAAAGAAGCAGAATGGCCTTTACAGACTTGTCTCTATTTCGCCCAAGGCAATATGCTCAATTAATATTTGACAAAGGTGGCAAGAGCATACAATGGAGTAAGGACAGCCTCTTTAATTAATGGTGCTGGGAAAATTGGACAGCTACATGCAGAAAAATGAAACTAGACCATCAACTTACACAAGAATAAACTCAAAATGGATAAAAGACTTAAATGTGACTCATGAATCCATAAAAATCCTAGAAGAAACTGTAGGCAACAAAATTTCAGACATCATACACAGCAGAATTTTCACTGATACATCACCTACGGCAATAGAAACAAAGGAGAAAATGAACACATGAGACTACATCAAACTCAAAAGCTTCTGCACAGCGAAAGATACAATCATCAAAACGGAAAGGCTACCCACTGTATGGGAGAGCATAATTGCCAATGATATATCAGATAAGGGGTTAATTTCCAATATATATATAGAGTACTCACACAACTCAACAAAAGGAAGACTAAGAACCCAGTTAAAAAATGGGCAGAGGCCC